ACCCGTCAGGATTCGAACCCATGACCACCAGCGGCTTCAACCGCCAGTCAGCAGCTTATGCCACTGCGCCACGGGGGGACAGCTTCGGACCGTCATGATTTACAAGCTAACTGCGATATAGCGCGTCTTATCCTCCACTGCCATACAAGTTACGAATGTTGCGATATATGAATCATCATCATCATACTACACGTTAGCTGGAGGTGGGGAACACTTCAGCTACTGTGCCGCACTACATAGGAAAAAAGGAGAAAAAAGCAACTGGTGCAAGTTGGCTGAGCTACCGGTAACGGATGGGCATCGTTCCGGTAAGCTACCAGCCGGCTGCTGCGCACCCAAAAAAATTACTATGCAAAATTATATAAGGCTAAATAATGAGATCGTGGTTGGAGGGGGAGGCTAAGAGGGATGGGGTGGGACAAAGAAACTCACAGCACGAACGCCACTGAGGTCGGCTCCTAGCCATATGGGCAAGTGTGTCCAAAGCATTAAATGGAAGGTTGTTTTCCAGGGACCACTGGTGCAGATGGTTGAGATCTATCTGAAGTGCCTGGGCATCGTCCGGAGTGTTAATTGTGCGCCACAGATTTGCGTCATCTGCATATAGCAGCAACGAAGACTCCACTTGCTGTGTGACGTCAGCAATGAAGGCTAGGAAGAAATCCGGTGTGAGAACAACTCCTGTGGGACTCAGCTTGTGGCAAGGAAGCGGGGGGACTACACTCCGACGACGTGTACTTGAACGGCATGGTTTTTGACGGAGTACCCGGATTTAGACCATCAAGACTCCTGATACGCCGAAAGACAACAGTTTGTGTAGTAGAATGTTGTAGTCGACGTTGTTGAGGGCTTCAGCGAAAGCCAGAAATATGACATGCATTTCTAGGCAAGAGTCGGCAGCAGTCGCCTAGCTGTCCCTAGCAAGTAGCAGATTACTCAGGCATGGACGTTGCCGCCGGAAGCGGTGCTGGCAACCGGAGAGCAGTTTCTGGACCTTCATGTGGTCTATTAAAGCGTCTGTGACGATCGATTCCATCACTTTGGAGATCATAGAGAGGAGTGGTATCGGTCGGCAGTTGACCGGGTCTTTGCGAGTGCCACTTTTGTAGGCTGGCGTAATTGTACCACATTTCCTATCACTGGGAACTTGCGAGTAGTAGTGGGTAAACAGTTGCGCTAGGGTTAAAGCTAGAGCTGCAGCGCACGTTTGCGGGAGCCTTGGGTGGAAACCATCAGTGCCAGGAGAGGCCGTTAGCCGCAGGGATTTGAGTTTTGCCAGGACCTTCCCCGGAGCGAACTGAATAGTCATCAAGGACGTTGAGGGTGAAATCGAAGAAGGTACCACCGTTGTACGCACAGACAGAACAGAGAATGCTTATGCGTACTGTTAGTACAGGACTTCTGCGACCGCGTTCGTTGACTTTGTGAGCCCTGTGGAGGTCGTCAGCGCGGTGACACCGTGCTTGACTGGTCGAAGACTGTCGACGTAACTATACAAGGCTTTGGGATTGGATGAAGATTTGCGCATAAGCTGACGCTGATGCTCACTCTTATCTTCGCGTACAAGTTGGACGTATTGATTACGGATGAGTTGGTAAGATTCCCACTGAGTAGCCTTTGGATGAAAGCGATAGTTTCTCTATTGCCGTGTCCCTGGAGGCAATCCGCTTCCGTGTACGACTTCGGATGAGTCCTGGGCGTCTCTTCCCTATGGAAACTTGGTTGTAGGTTGCGGTGGTGGAGCAGAGTTCACGTAGGGTAAGGTAAAAGGTAGACCACATGCTGTTAGTGCTCGATTGGAGTTCAGGTGATCAATTGTTAGCGGAAATGAGAACGCTATCTCATCCAAAAAGCACAGCAGGTTAGCCAGTCATGACTTTTTTGACGAAGCCGTGCTGCTCCGTTCTTAGCAAGTTACGAGAAACTAAGTGCCCACAAATTCAGCTAATGGTTAGAATTTCCAGGCATTTAAGCAGAGCGCTGGTAAGATTGCCAAGTCTATACTTGACGGACAGATTCAGAGCCCCTTTGTGTATTGCTACAAGAGCTGACTTCGTCTTGTGGAAGCCTACCTTCCTGAAGTGATATGTTGAACAGGTCCAAAACAGGAGCTGGAGTATTTTAGCGAGCGACTCGACAATGACAGGATGCACATTATCAGGTCCAGCCGATTTGTAGGGGTCCAAGCCTGCCAAGACAACAAGTACCTCTGATGCAGTTGATAGATCGGTTGACAT